TGCCCATGGCAGGGGGGTTGGAACTAGATGATCTTTAATGCCCCTTCCAACCCAAACCATTCTGTGATTCTGTGATTCTATGATTTATACTCTGTACATTAGAACTGCTTTAATGTCACTTTGCATTAGGGTCAGGGCTTTCATGAGAAAAATAATAGGTATCTTAGATCAGACACATATCCGTCTACTTAACTGTGTCTTTCATGTGGACTAACACCAAACATTTCCTGAGGCACCGCCTGCAACAGAGGTGTTTGAGTCTCACTCAGCATCTCAAAAAGTAGTGTATACTTTCCTGAACCGTATATAGTATTTTCCTTGGTTGGAAGGTCCATGATAAGAATCAGCTATTTTTTGGTTTTATTTGTTTACCAATGCAGACAGACTCAGCGCAGCAGAAGTACTCCAGGAGGTAATTCCCTTGTTCAGAAACCCTTGAGCCTCTCTGCCTGCACCTGAGGACCTCCGTCAGTACTCCTCCTCAGGGCAGTGAGACTGACTGCTTCCTTCTCCTTACATTAGCATACCCCTAATGTGCCTCCCCATCTCCCCCTTCACCTCGCTGTCAAAGCACCAGGCTCTGCAAATACAGAGCAAACCATCTGGGGAAGTCATCCTGCTCTCCTGCTCTCCAGGAGCTATACTTTACTCACCCCTCCGAATCATGCCAGTGCACGGTGTGATGCCTTTTATTATTTCAAACATTTTATCCATAAATAAGCTTAAGTCTTTCTCTCTTCTAGTATGAGTATAAGAATGCACTCAGGATTTTCTGTGAGATCTGGATTTATTCACAAATGAAACACAAAGGCACCCAATACCTATTGATGCAGCAATCTGAATCCCTCTGATGTTTGCTATCACAATGCGCACCCACACAGTAATAGCAAGTGTGCTTGGGGTGTTCATTTTTGGGTGAATTAACTCCATATGTTGGCTTTCATTGACATGGGGCCCCAGTAGGGAGTCACGTGTGGACACAGCCCGGGGTGTCTGCCAGTCTTGGCAAGTTGCACGTGCTTGCAGAACATCACTTAGATGTTGCCTGGGGCGGGAGGCAATGGTTTCCAAGAATTTGCAGAACCAGTCTGAGTGTTAAACATTAAAAATCTCCATGTATTTTCCATTTGCAATGACAGAAAATAATCCATGTTCCTCCATGCTCAGAAATACCCAAGAGTTATGTCTCACTACTATGGCATTCAGAAACACAGGTGTACATGACTTATGCATTAGCTCTGAAATATTTACACCTCACTGGGGAGCCAAATGGGGAAAGTGGCCTGTGACCAATGTAGCACCGTTCAGTGCTGCATGTGAGGGCACCCAGCATGATGAGAAATACTTCCAACAACGTGACAGTTGCCCAATGTGTTCAGGAGTATATATGCTAACAGATTGTCCTCTTGCATGCCTTGATTTGTGCATGCATAGAGTTGAAGGTTTATCCCCCGTGAAATGCTTGATATTATTTCCAGTGAAAATAAGAAGAATTTGTCTGTGAGAATAAGACACGTGATGCCTAATTGATGAAGGCAAATTTTAACATTGACTGATCACATTGGCATTTTAGGCAACATTTCCAATCCTTGAGCCTAGATACTTGCTGCAGTGATTCAGAACTAATAGGCACTTCTGTACATTTGTCTATTTTGCATAAAAACCAGCCATTACTAACTGTTGTTATTAATGTTTACTTCCTGTTTTATTTTGCCTGCAGAATACTTGAAATTTCTCAAGTGGTTTCTATTTATGAATGTCAGGCTACCTCCTAAACATTGATTAATTTAACCTCAGACATGTGGCAGATCTAGACCAAGCACATCATCAGCTTGTGCCTGGGAGAGCTACAGCATCGAGAGTGTCAAAATCCTAAACTAGCACTAACCTGGCACCATCAGCCATATGCCACCTTTTCTGCTTGGAGGTGCACAGCAGGGTATGATCCTAGAGGAGGATTGCTCTTGGCAAGACCCATGCTCTTACTGAGAGGAGCCAATCTCAGATGAAAGACCCAGGGATCTATCTGCGTTCAGGTCATTTGACAAACAAGAAGAAATGGTCTACATTATTATGACCTTAATTCCTGACCCACTGATTGTCAGAGTTCATGAGGCATTTCTTTCCCTCCAGCCTTCTTCGAAGTAATGTTTGAGGAGACATTAGGTTAAAAGTAACTAGCGAAGGATTTATAACAGGCACCTGCGTTAGGTTTCTATTATTTGCCTAAAGACTCCT